GAATGGATGGACCTCATTCTGTAAGACCTCGCTTGGTGTGGGGGACTGGTGGAGATTGTCAGAATCTTAGACTTTTAGAGCCAGGAGGAATCTCAAATTCTTCACAGATAATCTTGAGGCCAAGAAGTGATGTGAGAGGGGTGAAATAATACAATGTCATTGTCGGGGTTTTGTATTGTTTTTCTTCCCAAGCCGTCACTGCATACAGTGAGGACTCAATAAATGTCGACTACGTGAAAGGGCTCAAGGAGGAACCAGATATCCATGGAATCGGGTGGGTTGGGACCTTCAACTCCACACTGTGGCCTACCTATAGTAGGGAAAGCCAGGCCGTCCCAAATTCCGGAAAGGAAGAGGGAGCGGCCTAGTGTATGCCCTGGCTTTAGAACGGGCTCCGTGGGAAGGAGATCTGGGCGGTAGGCGGTCGGATGGGTGGAATCCTGCTTCCTGCTAGACGGAAGGGCGGAGCTTGGGTCTCCATGGAGACGGCTTCGCCTAGCAACCCAGCGGGCGTTGAGCAGAGCCGCTGGCCTGATGGACGCCGAGGGCCTCCTGCTGTCGCTGGAGCTGGCGTCGGGCAGTGGGCAAGGCCTCGGCCCGGACCGTCGGGCCTCTCTGCTCACTTCCCTTATGCTGGTTAAGCGCGACTACCGCTATGATCGGGTCCTGTTCTGGGGCCGCATCCTCGGCCTCGTCTCCGATTACTACATCGCACAGGGGCTGAGCGAGGATCAGCTGGCACCGCGCAAGACACTCTACAGGTGGAGGCGGCACCCGGGATGGGGCGACGCCGCAGGAGGCTAGGAGGGGCGGCCACCGGGAGGCAGGGAAGGGCTGGGCGGCTTGTAGGACTCTAAAGGGGCGGGGCCTGTGGGGTCCAGGAGTCGGGTGGGCGGGATCTGAGGCGGAGGGAATGGGGATGGGTCAGAGGGGCGGGGCTGGGAAGTCTGAACTCGAGGCTAGAGCGGAGCCTGAATGGGCGGGGAAGCGAATGGGCGTGGTCCGAGCGGGCCGGGGCCTGGGAGGGAGCGTTGTCCGCCTGGAGTGCCAAGAGAAACTTAGACGCCGACGGGTTTACAACAGAGGCAGGGCCAAGAATGAATGTGGAGCTAGGGAAAAGTTCCTGGAGGATGCAGATCTGGAGAAGCCAGGTGCGAGCCAGGTGCAAGCCTGGCATTGCGAAGGGCTCAGTTTGGAGAAGGGTCAGACGCCTGGAGGTGGAGTGGTGCTGTTAGGAAGAAGGTCCTGAAGCATCTCTGATGGAGGTGTCGGCTACTATGCTGCAGTAGGCCTCTTGGAAGTAGAGAGCGAATGCGGAATGGGGAAAGAAGAGGTGTAGAACTGGGGAGAATTCCCTGTACACTACAATACAGGACTATCCAGCCTCTTTTTGACGACTCCTGGCGATGAGGGGGAGCTTACGACCTTTAAAGCAGTGCATGCAGGCTACAGGTGGTTGGAGACTTCATTGAGCTATCCATGCATCAATCCAACATTCACTGGATGCCTCCTGTACTAGACTTGGGGTTACAAAGATGGCTAAGACCGCACCGCTGTCTCCGAGATACTCACATTCTAGGGAGGGAGACAGATGTGTCACTCAGCAATTACAGCGCAATGCAGCAAAACTAGAACAGAGGTGTACACGAAGAGGGACCAAGGTTGGCATTCTTCTAGAGAACAACTGAGTAAGATCGCTAGGGGAGTTACTTGCATTGAGTTCTGAAAGACGAGCAGGAGTTCTCCAGGCAGGTGTTGGGGAAAGGCATGCAAGTTAGAGGGAACAGTTCTACAAACTCTTGGTGCCTGGAGAAGGCTTGGAGTGTTGGGAGAATAGCAGTAGGTGACATGACAGTGGCAGTGTAGGGTGTTGTGTAGGACTGAGTGGGGAGGCCGAGCGGTTTGAACTTTGTCCAAAGGCTGTGGGGAGCTCCTGAGCGGCTTTAAGCAAGAAGAGCCTGTTCAGATCTGAGTGGGCAGAATGGCTTGGAAGTGTGGTGAGCATTTAGGAGTCCCTTGTGTCCAGATCAAGGGGCCAGAAAGGAAGTGGTAGCTGAGGAAATGGAGAGGAGGGGATGGGTTGAAAAGATTTAAGTGGTAGAATTGGCAGGCCTTGTGACTGATTGAATGAGGGTGGTGGTAAAGGAGAGGTCAAGGCTGACCCCTCCTTCCAGCTTAGGCAGCTCAGTAAGTGCTGCCACTACTCGCTGGGAGACACTTCAGGGAGCAGGGCTAGGGCAGACATAGTGAATTTGGGGTGAGGTGCCTGGGAGCAAGGTGTTAAGAAGGTGTATTAAAGTACAGATCTGGAGCCCGGAAGAAAAAGTTGGACTGAAGATAGAGATTTGGGATTCATTTCATTTTATAAGTATTTGCTGAGCACCCACTATATGCTACTATGTACTAAGCATTGATTTGGGCACCAGGAATTCAGTGGTAAATGAAGTCCTTGTCTTCATGGAGCTTACATTGTAGTGTGTGTTGGGGAGGAGGGAAGGGGAGACAGATAGATAAACATACACATTTATTATATGTCAGATGTGTTACATGCTAAGGGAGATACAGAATACAGAGTGGAGTACTATCTTAAATTGAGTGCTCAGGGGTGGCCTCTCTGATAAGGTAACATTTGAGAAGACACCAGAAATGACTGAGGGAGTGAGCTATGTGGATATCTGAATTCCAGACAAGTGCAAAGGCCCTGAGGCCGGTGTGTGCTTAGTGTTTGTTTGTGGAACCTCATAGAGACTAGTGTGGCTAAAGAGGAATGAGTGAGGGGCAGCATTGTAGGACATGAGGTCAGAGAGGTAAAGGGTGGGAACAAATCTGCAGGGCCTTGTGGGGTGTTATAAGACTTGGCTGAACAGGAAGCCATTGGAAGGTTCTGCACAGAGGACTGACATGATCTGGCTTAGGTCTGAAGAGTTGGGTGGAGGCTAGTCTGGAGGGGAAGTAGATGTGGCAGCAGGAAGACCAATGGGGCATCTGCTACAGTGTCTAGGCAAGAAGGAATGGTGGCTTGGGCCAAGGTGGAAGCAGTGGCAGTGGTGAGAAGTGGTTGGATTCTGGGTACCAAGGGCAGTAGCTGGGGCTCTAAAATGTAGGTGGATAAGACTGCAGAGAGAAAAGAGGTGTGAGAATAGTCCCTGGAAATACTTAAGGCACTGGAGGAGGAAGAAGGGAGATATCAGAGGAAATAGAAATGGAGAAGCATCTGTCGGCTGTTAGGTATCCTCGATGGCCTTCTCCTGAGCAGTTTCTTGGCATGGTGGGGGCAGAAATCACGGTGCAGAGGGCTGAAGAGTGAAAGGGAGAGGGAGGAAGGGCCTCTGCAGGGGAAATTGTTCTGAGATTATTGTTCAGAGCTGGGGGAGAGAATGGGAAGGACAGGAAAAGCATTTTCTAGAGGGACATGGATCTGAGGGCTGTCGTTTTAGCAGGCTTAGCAGTTTTTATGTTGAGATTGAACCAGTGGAGAGTAAAGGGCAGGAAGATGAGTAGAGACCAGGCTGGGGACTCAGGCCTGGCAGGTATTAGAGAAGAGTGGGTGGACCTCTTTCCTGGAGGGAAGTGAGAAAGAAGGGACCAGGCAGGGCTTGGTGAATGCTCCTGAAGACCTCAGTGGAGGAGAGATCCTTGAGCCTAGGCTGGGCTTCCTGAGAAATGGAAGGAAGTGGCTGTGCTGTTGGCTCAGTAGGTAGGCTGAGCATGAATTTAGAGGCCACCAAACCAGGGGTGCTCACAACTGAGTGAAGTTCAGCTTTCAGAAACTCACTCAGAATTTCACAGTCCAGATATTTAGGAAGAGGCTCATTTAATTTCAGCATATATGAAACTTTGTGATCTTTAAAAAAATAAAATTGAAATTCCATCATGAATGAGGGTGGGGTGCACCATGGGCACTTAGGGATTCTAAAGGTCCTGAAACAGTGTTAGGAGGGAAGGTGGGAACTCCAACAGCTTCTCTTAGGCCTAACCCACTAGGGGGAGGGGAAGGTGGCAGGAAGAGTTGGGTAGCAGGGGGAGTTGGAATCCAGGGACAGTCTGGATGTCGTTGGCAGCCTGAACTGCACGGAGTGGAGCCTCTTGCCGCCTGCCACAGAGGAGATGGTGGCGCAGACGTCTGTGGTGAAAGGCCGCTTCATGGGAGACCCCTCACATGAGTATGAACACACTGAGCTGCAGAAGGTGAACGAGGGTGAAAAGGTCTTTGAAGAAGAAGTAGTGGTGAGTGACGGGAGGAGGGGGAGGAGGGCTTGAACAAAGAGGGCCTGGGCCGTACAAAACTCAGCCCTGTAGAAATTATGGCAATGGCTACTATTACAGTGACCTTCGCTACTGCCAAGCTGGGTATTGACTACCTGGGTGTGCCAGGCACTGTGCTACTGTGCCTATATCATCTCTTTGAATCTGTACAACTCTATGAAGTTGGTGTGTTACTTTCCAGGTGGTAGAGAGGAGGACACTGAGGTTTAGGGAGGTTAAGTGACTCGTCCAGGTGCACATCACTCCTGAGCAACGGCATGAAGAGAGAGGAGGCGCAGCTCTTGCGGAAGCCTGGCTCTGGGGTGGGGGCTGCGAAGAGTGAGGTTTGCGCTGCACTCTGGGGTCAGGGAATGTGCACAGGCTCTTATAATGTAGTATCAGTTTTCATTTTACTAGATAATACACCACATGGTTCAAAACTCAAAGGTTAAAAAAAGGGATATAGTAAATTTTCCTCCCATCTCTGTTCACCAGTCACACAGGTCCTCTTTCTGAGGGACATTAATGTAACTATTTTGCATGTGTCAGTGTGTATGTGTGTGTGTGCATGCACATATGCATGTGTGTCCAAATCTTTCTACTCAAAGTGCAGTCTGGATGAGAAGCATCGCCACGTCCTAGGAGTTAGAAATGCAGACTCTTGGGCCCCAGCATCAAAAATCTGCTCTTTAACAATTATCTGTAGGAGTGTGAATTCACATTGAAGGGTGAGACATTCTATGCAAGTACAAACCTTGGTAAGTACCTTACCTATACATAGTCTCCTTTTACCTTAAAAAACAAACAAAATGGGCCGGGCGCGGTGGCTCACGCTTATAATCCTAGCACTCTGGGAGGCCGAGGCGGGCAGATTGTTTGAGCTCAGGAGTTTGAAACCAGACTGAGCAAGAGTGAGACCCCGTCTCTACTAAAAATAGAAAGAAATTAATCGGACAACTAAAAATATATAGAAAAAATTAGCCGGGCATGGTGGCGCATGCCTGTAGTCCCAGCTACTCGGGAGGCTGAGGCAGAAGGATTGCTTGAGCTCAGGAGTTTGAGGTTGCTGTGAGCTAGGCTGACACCACGGCACTCTAGCCTGGGCAAAAGAGTGAGACTTTGTCTCAAAAAACAAAAACAAAAACAAAAACAAAATGAATAGCAGGGCAGGGCACAGTGGCTCACGCCTGTAATCCTAGCACTCTGGGAGGCTGAGGCAGGAGGCCTGCACGAGCTCAGGAGTTTGAGACCAGCCTGAGCAAGACCAAGACCCCATCTCTACTAAAAATAGAAAAAATTAGCCAGGTGTGGTAGTGCGCGCCTGTACTCCCAGCTACTCAGGAGGCTGAGGCAGAAGGATCGCTTGAGCCCAGGAGTCTGAGGTTGCTGTGAGCTAGGCTGACGCCACAGCACTCTATTCAGGGCAATGGAGTGAGAATGTGTCTCAAAACAAAACAAAACAATTGGAAGCATGTTATACATACAGTTCTACACCTTGCTTTTTAAATTTAACAATGTATTTTGGAGATCTTTCTATATCAGTGCCTTAAAGAGCCTCCCCATTCTTTTTACTGTTGTGGGAATA